CACAGTGGCTCAAAATGAGAAGAGATTATAAACATATGGTGAAGTAGAATTTGCATACCTTTCCACGGTACCAAGGGAGCTTGTCTTCATGGCCATGGTGATGCAAGTAAGTCACGAAATCCAACCACATTACAAATATCTGCAATTAGTTGTGAAAAAAATGCAATAAGCACCTGACGACTAGAGAAAAAAGAGGAATGCAATTACAGTTACAGCATCAGGTACCCAGTAAGGAATGCCATATAGTTTAAGCATTTGGATTGGACCCACGACAAAATTGAGACAGACAGGCATAGCAGCCATTGCAGTCCAACGTGCAGTTGAATGTCAGAACATCTTTCTTCTCTTTGAGAAGAAACAAGTCACTGTCTGGATCAAAATGATACCCATCTACTGTAAATCGCATTACTTACATGCATTTAAATATTTATTCTTGTATATTTGGATATTGTTTACAATGTTTTTTTTTGTGTTTCAGTTTATAAAACTAACAAGAACTTAGTTTTAAAAGTCTAAACTCTCTTCGAGTTAGATTCAAGTGATTTACAAAGCTTTATAAATTAGTGTATAAATATTTGTAATAAACTTATAACTCCAGTAGATATTTTATAAACTAATTTATAATATCTTATAAATCAGTTCATGAATCCTTACTAACCTTTATAAATGATATATAAGCTTATATATATAATATTAACTCTTGCAAATGTTTTATAAACCCTTATAAAGTATTTATAAACGGTTTATAGATTTTATAACTTGCTTTATAAGTCTTCATAAATTGATTTATAAATCTTTATAAATTCATTATTAAATCCTTATTATTTGATTTATAAACTTTCATAGATTAACTCTTACAAATGACTTCATAAACCTTATAAACATTTAACAAACCCTTATAAAACCTTTATTAAACTTAATGTACACTTACAAAGACTTTAAAATAATTTTTATAATTTATAAATCCTTATGGAAAACTAATAATAATTTATAAATGATTTTATAAATATTTATAAATGATATATAAACCATTATATTTGACTTATAAACCATTATAAATAATTCATAAACTAATTACAAATGATTTTATAACTATTTATAACTCTTTAAGATTATTTTATAAACACTTTAGATCATTTAATGTTTATTAATGTTATAAATTCACTTTTAT